ACTCACTGTAAGTCAATAAGCACTCATTTATGCCTTTGTATCTCTAACATCTTCCAGTACATAGGTATTAATAACTGCTGAACTGAAGTGAGTTGAATAAAGAGCTATATTTTTACTCTAGATCACCTGGATAGGAAGATGAAATAGGGAATTTTGGAAACAGATCACAAGCCTGGCAAAGAAGAATGATATAGAAGCCAGTCAGTCAGTCAACCAGTCAAGAAGCATTTATTGAGGGTGAATTTGTGCCAGACACTGTACTACTAGGGATACAAAGAAAGGCAGAGCTTAAGTCTTCCTGTTTGTTGACTGAACTTTGGCATTTATATATAGATAGTTGAGATCATGAATTTTCCTACTGGCTCTTCTCCTGAATTTTGTTTCTTATGAATTTCTAATTATCTCAGCTACTGTTCTTTTCTTCCCTTGTGCCTGCTTTCTATAGCATATAACACAGAAGATACATGTATACATGCATGCACACACATATACATGCATGCATACACATATATCCCCACACAATTATTAGCTTTCAGCTTGATCTTATTAGGGGGAGGCTTCCTAGTCATGTCACTTCAGTAGATAGGAACAGTGAGCAGTAGATGACTGAAGAACCAAAGCTCGGCAAATGGTAGCAGAGAGCAGTTCGGAACACCAAAACCAGAAGTGACAACACAAAGGAGAACAGGGGTAGTATATCCACCAGAAACAATATGATGACCCAAAGAGAACATCAGAAAGCATGTGCCACATTGATTGCTGACATGTATGCCCTTAATGCATGTACCCTGGATGCACAGATTTCTGGTGTGGGCCCCTAGCCACATTTGTGCTCTCCATGTGCATTTCAAAGAATCAGAGAATCAGAGCTTAAAGGGACCTTATAAGTCATCCAATCTAACCTCTTCATTTTATATAACAGGTATTTGGCTGGGAGAGTGATTAAATATTTTGCCTGGGATCATATAGCTAATAAATTATATGAGGCACAATTCAAATTCAGATCTTCCTGATTCCAAGTCCAGTATTCTCCACTGTTCCACCTGTGTGCCTCTCACCTCTCCTACTATTGTCTACTTCCCTGTATTCTTAGATGAAGTATTCCTTCTCCTTGCCAAGGCCAATCTCTCTACATGTAACCTTTAACTCATTCTCTCTCATCCCATCCAGCAGATCGCCTCCACAATCATATTCATTCTCTAATCTTCTGTTTCTTGCTATCTACTTATTTGTTCCTTGATGCCTACAGACAGACCCACATCTCTCTCAGACTTAAAAAAAATCCCTCAGTAGATCCTGTCATGCTTACCAGCTATTATCCTTTATCTCTCCTCCCTGCTCAGCTAAACACCTTGGAAAAAACATCCACAATTAGTGTTTACATTTGAATTTAACTTTGATCTAAGGAAGAGTCCACACTCACCACTCAGTTGATCAAGGGTGTTTATTTGCAACATAAATATGTACATTTTGCCTAAAGGTATCTATGGTTGCCAGATTTTAGAACACAATCTGAAAAAATAATGGCATGGTATTTGTTCAATTGGATGGCTGGCAGATACATTGTCTTTAGCAATTCTCCTTAAGGTAGTACTCTAGCCCAGGGATGGGGAACCTGTGGCCTGGAAGCCACATGTGACCCTCTAGGTCTTCAAGTGTGGTCCTTGGACTGAATCCAAACTTCACAGAACAAATTCCCTTAATAAAAGGATTTGTTCTGTTAAACTTGGACTCAGTCAAAAGGCCACACCTGTCATACACTTGTTATGCCCACACTTGTTATAAACAAGTAAATTAGATTATGCAAATAGAAGCCAACCAGGTAACAGAATTATAGCTTCTCACACTCAATTATAACCAATTGCTTTGGATTGAGGATCTTATCTGCACCAGATAAGGCCTGAAAGTGTTAAAAAAAATAATTCTAGGAAGTAGCATGGAGTTACATGGTAAGTCTAGAAATAGAGATGGGCTATAAAATAAATGTTTCATCATAAGAGGCATATAATTGGCAGATCTTTTGGACTATTTCACCAAGGAAAGGCCAGGCACAATTTTATCTTGCTTCAGGGCTTGTCAGGAATCTGCCATTTGCTGTCATAGCATCAAAAGGAACATCAAAGATCAGAGAAGTCAAACTGCTTGAATAGATATTTACCTTTACCATGTCCCAGGAAAAGTAGGTATTCAACCTTTCCTTGAAGACTTCTCAATAGGGGGGATGTCCTACTTCTAAAGGAATGCCATTCTGCTTTGGGATAACTCTACTTTAAGGATTTTTTTCCCTTAAATCAAGATTAAATTTGCAAGAATAATCACATGACTGTTGCTCCTACTCTTGATGTCAGAGCACAGTCTTGAGGGCAGAGTAAAACCACACTATAACTTCCCTAGTCCTGGACACCATGCCTCTTGTCATGTCACATTACCTTTTTTGATTGCCATATTAAAATCTTGACTTATTAATCTTGGAGTCTATTAAAACTCCCACTAAAACCACTAAACTGTTTTCAAGTAAATATCTACTGAGCCATTTCTTCCCCATTTTGTATTTCTGAACATCTAATCCCTATTAACTATTATGTTATTAGAGTTGATATCTTGTTGAGATCTTTTTTGGATCCTGACTCCATCATCTAATATGTTAGCTAAGCTGTCCACCCCCACTGTTGTCCTTCCTTAAATCTGATAGGCAAGCAACTGTGCCTTCACTCAAGTCAAGGATAAAAATATTAAACTAGTACAACATTAAACAGACCTCTTTCCAAATTAAGATGAAACCACTAAAAACTACTATTGAGTGCTAGCCATTCAATCCACCTAATTGTAGGCCTAGTTCATATCTCTCCAAGCTATTTGGAAGAAGAGCAATTAGTTTGAAGTCAGTACATTTGAATGGTATAGAGAAGACTGTGCTCCAGGTGGAGGCTGTAAGAGAATGATGAGATGCTCTCAGAAATAAGGTTCTGAAGATTCAAATAGAAACAATCTCAACGAAAAGGAAAAGGGGAAAATGTTACGTAAAGAGAATTTCTGGATGCCCAAGAAATGCATTTTAATCTAGATTTTCTTTATTTTCAAATTTCATGAAGATACTAGAGAGTTTTTTTATTTTCCCAATTGAAAAAAAGAAATCCTCAATAGAGTCAAAACTAGAAAAGTACAATATTTACTTTTTAAAGTTACTTCAAATTGGGAGTGTTTATGAGAAAATCATTTGAATTTTGAAAAAAATTATTGTGAATGCAATGATCACTAAAACCATGAATAATTCAACATGCAAAAAGAACCAAAAGTTTTATAAGAAATTATAAGTTTAGGTATTTACAGTTTTTTAAAAGTTTAAATGTTAAAATTAACATGGTAGGACCAAAATTGCCCTGTTGGTCTGTTTTTCCTTACATTCTATTGACTCTTTATTATTTAATTTAAATTTTCTTTTTTAAAAAATATTAACTAAACATAAAATGAACATTTTCATGGAAAAAGAAACAGAAAAAGACAATTGTAGATGAAACTGCGAACTTCTATTACATAGAGTATTTTAAAATGTATATTAAATTTAACATGATGGTAATAAAACTTTTCTGTTTGTCTCTGTCTCCTTCTGAACTTCCTTCTTCTCACATTTGTGTGTTCTTAAAATACTTTGCCTATGCTTTTCTTTTTTTAAAACTTAGATTTTTCAAGCTGTTTAGAAAATGGAAACAAGGTCAGGTATGTGAGGATGAAGACCAAAGTATAGCAATTAGAATAGTTTCAGGACCACCAAAGTCCAGAAAAAGATAAGAGCTAAAGAAGAAAAAAAGACTTCTAAACTAAATTGGGAAAAAAAAGAAAAATCAAAGAAAGATCTAGAGTACTGCAAATAGAAGGAATGATGATAATGGTTAGTGAAGAGAATGCAGAACTACTCAACTCCTACTTTATATATTTTTTCTTTGTTAAGTAGGATGATCTTTGTCCTGGAGAGGAAAGAATAAGAATGAATAACATGAAGATGAAATTCACAGAGTAAGGAGGTGGTAGAAACATACATAGCTGTGCTTGATGAGTTCTAATTACCAGATCTCAATGAAGGCCATGATGGGGTAATGAAAAAAACTGAAGTTGTTATCTCTGAGTCTCTATTACTAGTCTTTGAAAGATCTTAGACAATAATAGAGGTAATATAGGTTGGGAGAAAGGCAAATGTTCCAATTTTCCAAAAAAGAGAATAGTGGAGCCTGCAAACTATTTTCTAGTGAGCTTCCCTTTGAGGCCTAACAAACTTCTTCTGTGTTTTAAAGGGATAATTTGCTTTTATATCACATTCACTTCTTAATACATTTGTCTCCCTTCCACACTCATTGAACATAATAAAGAAAAATAAAAGAATAAAATATAAATAAAAGAATAAAGAACAAAGAAGAAATAAGTTTTTAAAAAGCAATAAATCAACTGTATATGCATGTACATATTGTTTGTATATATGACATATACTCTCATACTTGTTTGACATAGATTCTATACCCATATTCCCTCACCCCTGCAAAGAAGGGAAAAAAATTATTTTTTCATCTCTTCTCTGGGGGCAAATTTGGTCGTTAAAATTACATAGTATTCACTTTTGCGGTTTCTATCTTGTTCTTTTATGAAGGACTTTCTATCATTATTCAACTTGAATCCATTCCAACCCCAGAAAAAAACCCCAGCAAAACACAATGACTTCTTTCAGGACACTCAGCTGCTTTCATTTCTTTGTTGCTCATATCCTTCCCACCTCCCCTTGGAAGCCCAGGCTCCAAGGAATCAAAGAATACATACTGAGAGTTGGAAAGGATCTCAGGGGCCATCTGGCCCAGCCACTAGCAAAACAGGAATTCTCTTTACAAAAGATTCTTGTTCTGCAGGATTCCATGACACCAGGAAATAACTCTCCCTTTGGTATCAGGTACAGCTACTGAGACACAGTGTCATCCTCTTGGCTTGTATGGATATAAGGTTGAGAAATCCCAGAAGAACCTATCTGGGCCTCTGAGACTGAAGGAAACACAGCTCAAGTCCTCAGGAACATAAGAATTGGTGGTTAGTTCAGGTACCCTCTTCTCAAGTTCAACCTGTAAATGGAAACATCTGTTTCGGGATCTTTCTCTCTCTGCTGTTCCTCTGGCTCTAGATGCTGGTGTGGATCTTGACCTACCTCTGTGCAGGGTTTGAATATGAGATTTTCCATTCATCAGTCTCATTGTGGAGGGCAAGAGGGTACTCTCTTTTTCTGCATTTCTGCTGCATGCAGCACAGGGACAAGCTAAGATTCCTGAAGACTTTGGAGTTTTCTGAAACTTGAAATGGGGGGAGGCTAGTTAACATTGTCTCAGCTTTGAGATCTCTAGGCACAGACACACAGAATGTGCTTTTCAGGGGACAAATTACAATAGTGGAGGGATCTCGCATGGGTATTTATTTTTGAGATGTTGTTCATTACCTGTTCCAAAGAAAGCTGCAAGAAGGCAGAGCCTTCATGGAACTATACTGGGTTTTAGGATGTTCCAGAATAAGGTGCATACCTCCCATTCTGATTGTCCTAATGGTGAACACTCATCACTCAGCAGCGAGGATGGGGTTGTTTGGGGGTGTCCCTGGCTACTTCCTTAAGTTCAATTCTTTAGACCACTGACTCTTACCTCTATAGGTACCGCAAGGATCCATTTAGCCATGGAAATGAATGATGGGCCTTCAGGCAGGGAAAACACCAGGGACTTCATGAAATTTTCCTCTGCAGAAATGGATTACAAATCAACTCAGGGGTTTGATAGAATTCTCTCTAAAATAGGTGAGTACAGCAACCCCAAAGTTTACGATACTCCCTGAATGCAGCCGGAGGAAAGGGATGCTGGATATACGTAGTTCATTGATAAGTTGGAAAATGTCTAAACCAAGACAACTAAGATAATGAAGAGACTTGAGGCTCCATCCTACAGAACAGTGGAAGGTTTTTAACCTGGAGAAGAGAAAGCTAGGGGGAAGGGGGAAGGAGCAAAGGCACAATCCCTATTCTAAGGGCTGTCACGTGGAAGATTTTTGGCTTGTTCTGTTTGGTTCTAGCAGCCATGTTCTGCTTCCATAACAGGACTAGATGGGTGCTAAGTGAGGCTTTTAAAGCCATCATTAAGTGATTAACATAGGAATTCTCCCCTCCTTGGCCTCTGTTGCCCATCTCTATGAGGGAACTGTAGCAAAGAGTTTCAGAGGGAGCTCTACCTGGGGAATTTGTAGGAAAACATCCAAGTAGATAGAGGCCAGAATGGGCCAAATAGCACATTTCCCCCTCCCTTCTCCCCTGGGCCTTGGCCTGGAAAAGAGGAGAGATCATCACACCATCCTGTCTATGGACTTGGGAGCACTGGGGGAATTCATCAGTTATAGTAAGATTTCTTAGTATCCTCACCTTCTGTTCCAGCATTCCCTAACCCAAGAATCTGGGGAAATTTACTGTGGAATTCTCAGGAGTCACAATCCATAGAACAACCTCCTCTTGTGAAAATTCATGACATCCATCAACAAGTCTGGATTCTTCTGGATGGGACACTTAGAACAACTCCCTATGAAGATAATGTGAACCCAGGTGAGTCAAAATCTTTGTCCTATTGCTTCTTTTTATGAGGTAACCTTGTCTTCTGTTCACAGTGCCTCCTTGGAATGGAAATGTCATTCTCATTTCTAGTAATGTGTAATTTATTGTGCTTAATGGACATGGGGAAAGTCCCACATATATCAGTGAAAAATGGGAAGGAAAGGTGGGGTTGTCCCTTTTTTGTAGTTAAAGTATGCTTTTTCAATGGAGATAGAAATGAGGAGTAAGACACAGATAGATGTACAGGATGAGAGGATGCTCAGATGGGTTGAGCTAAAGAGAACACCAATAAGACAGTACCTAGGTAGGACTCTCATTCCAGAGGAAAAAAGAGAGGAAGAGGGAGAATGTAGAAAGAGAAAGGTGGAGAAGGAGAATAAGGGAAAGCAAAGTTTAGGAGTGGCCCCAGTCGCAGGCCCTGAGCTCACTGTCCTATGCAATCTCTTCCCCTGGGATGTTTCCTGGGAGGCCATTTCTCTAGATTCCAGGTTCTAGACCTTGTGTCCAGTGATTTTAATATCCTTCCATTTGCATAGCACTGTAATGTTTGAGAAGCATGCTCCCATGAGCTCCTGTAAGTTTTACAAGAATTTGGTGAGGTAGATAAAACATGAACTGTCACCCCACCTCCACTTTTTTTATACATGAGCAGACTGAAGCCCAAAAGCAGCTATGTAACTGCTCAAGCTTAAAGCTAGCAGGGCAAGGTCAGGACTAGTACTTGGGTCTCCTGCTTTCTGGCCCCATGCTTTCTCATTGAACTGGCCTTCCACTTTGGAGCCATTCATAGCTGCTTGGTCAGTGTTATATTCTCAATCTCTCTCTCTCTCTGCTTCCAGAGAGACTTCACTAAAATCTGCCATGGACTCACCAGAGACCCCCTATAAACCCTTTGTGGTGTAATATGATTGTTGCCCAATGTAATTAAGTAAGTATATAGCTTTGGGAGTCAGGAGACTTAAGCACTGGACAGCCACCTACTCCTCCCAACTTCTGTATTTCTGTTGAGGAAATCTCTATCCTTCCAGTCACCTGAGTTCATAATCTATAAGGATTCTCAGTACCCATCATTCCACATTCAATTGCCACATTTTGTGGATTCCAACTCCACAACATTTCTGTCTTCTATCCTTATTTCTTCAATCCCACAGCCATCACCCTTGTTCAGACTCTCATCACCTCTCACTGGGAATATTATAGTAATCTCCTAACTCACAAATTCTTAGCCATTTTTGCATAATGGATGTTTTTGGTGATATCATTAAGTCTATGGACCCTTTATCAGAAAAAAAGTTATTTTAAATAATTGAAGAAAATGCCAAATTTCAGTTACGGTTCAGTAAAATAAAAACTGCTATTTTTTCTATACAAGTTCATGAACTCCCTAAATTCTATATATGGACATCAGGTTAAGAACTCCTGTCCTAACCAGACTCCATGACTCAAGTCTCTCTTCTCTGCAATTTATATACAACTGCCAAAATATTATTCCTTATGCACAGATCTGATGATGTCACTCTTTTACTCAGAAAGTCTCAATGACTCCCTCTTATCTTTTTTCAAATTAAATTTTATTTTTATCAATTAACAAAGATCTGCTTTCTTTTCCTCTGCATCCCCCATCCTGGAAAAAAGAAGAAAGCCCTGCAACAAATATGTCAAGCAAAACACATTCCCACATTGGCCACATCCCAAAATATATCTCACTCTGTATATCTAGTACATCTTCTTTCTATCAAGAAATGGGCAGCATTCTACATCTTAGGTCATCTGGAATAGTGGTTGATCATTTTGTTGGTAAGAATTCTTAAGTCTTTCAGAATTATTTGCTTTTACACTATTGTTGTTATAGTATAAATTATTCTCCTAATTCTGCTCACTTTCCTTTCTATCAGGTCAAAGTGAAATTTAAGTGATGCCCACTCCCCTCATCCTTTCCTTGTTTGTATAGACTTTTACTTGTACCTTCTAATTATTCCTTCCTGTTGACATCAAAGTTCCTAAGGGATACTTGTATGATCCTTCCCCCTTCCATTAGAATGCAAACATGTCATCCTTTAAAAAGATTTTTCCAATTGCTTGTTTACATTCACCTTTTTGTGTTTCTCCTATGTTTGTATTTCAAAGTTTCTACAAAGCTCTGGTCTTTTCATTAAGAATCCTTGGAACTCCTTTATTTCATTAAAGGTCCAATTTTTTTCACCTTTAGGGTTATATTCCATTTTGCTGGGTAAATTTAAGGCCTGTATCTTTTGCCTTTTGTAATGTTGTGTTCCATGTTCTGTTTCTTTGTAGTGGTAGTTGCTAAATCTTGTGTGATCCTGACTGTGACTCCTTGGTACTTGAATTATTTCTTTCTTGCTGCTTTTCATATTTTTCTTTGCCCTGGAAGCTCTAGGTTTTGGCCATGACATTTCTAGAAATACTAGGAATCCTAGCACATTCACTTTAAGATTTCTTTCAGGAAGGAACTGATGGATTATTTTTATTTTTACTTTGTTCTATAGCTCTAAGAGATAGAGCAAAAGTGAAAAGGACCTAGTTGTATGAAAATATTTATAGCAGCTCTTTTTGCAGTGGATAAGAATTGGAAATTAAAGGGATGTCCATCAATTGGGGAATGGTTAAACAAGCTGTGATATATGATTGTAATGGAATATTATTGTGATGTAAGAAATGACAAGCAGGATGCTTTTGGAAAAACCTGGAAAGACTTACATGAACTGATGCATAGTGAAGTGGACAGAACCAGGAGAGTGACATACATAGTAGCAGCAATATTGTTCAATGAAGAATTGAATGAAGAATTAGCTATTCTCAACAATGCAATGATCCAAGAGAATCCCAAAGAACTAATGATGAAGCATACTATCTGCCTCCAGAGAAAAAACTGATATTGATTCAATAAGGCTGTTTTTACATTTTATTTCTTTCTTATTTTTCTTTTATTTGAGTCTTCTTGCATAAAATGACTAATATGGAAATATTTTACATAATTGCATGTGCATAGCCTATATATTATTGCTTACTGTTTCAGAGAGTGAGGGGGGAAGGAGGAAGGGATGGAGTTTGGAACTCAAAACTTTAAATAAAAATGTTTAAAAAATTAAAAAAAAGATAGAGCAATTTTCTTTTATGATTTTCATATTTATGGAAACAGGATATTTACTCTCTCTGTCTTTCTCTCTCTCTTTTGGTCATGGTTTTCAGAAAGTCCATTGATTTTTTTTCAGTGTTAGTACCTTATTTTTTTCATGCAAACCACATTTACATATTAGCTATGCTACAAAAAAAAAAAAAACCCAAAACAGCAAAAAGCAAGAAACAAAAAAGAAAGTGGGAAAAACGTACACTTCAGTTTGCACCCAGGGTTCACCAGTTCTCTCTCTGGAGGTGGATGGCATTATTCATCATGAGTCCTTTAGAATTGCCTTGGATCATTCATTATCTTCATCAGAGCATCTAAGTCTTTCACATTTGATCCCCATTACCATATTGTTGTTACTGTGTATAATGTTCCAATTCTGCTCACTTCACTTTGCATCACTTTATACACATTTCCCCAGTTTTTTTTTCTGAAACCATTGTGCTCATCATTTCTTATAGCATAATAGTATTCCATCACAATAATATATCACGACTTGTTCAGCCATTCCCCAATTGATAGGCATCTCTTTGTGCCCAATTTTTTGCCACCACAAAAAGAACTGCTATAAATATTTTTGTACATTTGAGTCCTTTCCTCTTTTTTATCTCTTTGGAATATAGACCTAGTAGTGATATTGCTAGGTCAAAGGGTTTGCACAGTTTTACAGCTCTTTGGGCATAATTCCATTTTGTTCTCCAGAATGGTTGAAGTCCAATGATTGTTAAATGATCCTTCCTCGATCTGTTTTCTGGGTCAGTTATTTTTGCTTTAAGATACTTTACATTTTCTTCTGTTTTGTGAGTTTTTGGACTTTGACTTAGTCTTTCTTTTTTTCTCTTGAAGTTATTAACTTCTATTTGGTCTATGCAAAATTTGGGACGATATGTTCCTTAGATATGGGTTTGCTGTTAATTCTCTTTCCAAGCCTCTTTTCCATAACTCTCTTTTTTCTAATTCATATCTTTCCCTCTTATCTTTATGATCAAATAAGAACTCTTCTAATTGGTTTTTAAAGTCATTCACAATCTAGCTCTTGCCCACTTTTCTAAGCTTATTATGTACATATGTACATAATGAGCCTAGAAACACCTATGTACATATTTTTAATATTATCTCCCCCATTTAGACTATGAGTTCCTTGATATCAGAGACTATTTTATAACTTCCTTTGTAACCCTACCCCTCAACACAATGCCTAGAAAATAGTAGGACCTTAATAAAATAAATGTTTCTTAACTTACTGACTTGATGGACTTCATGTACAAGTAATATTGACTATTTTCTTTTCCCTGTATCTAGCATTCCCATCTCTCATCTCCAAGGTTTTATAAGGTTGCTCACATTTCCTGGGATGCCTTCTGCACTAACTTTAGCCTCATAGAATCCTTAACTTCTTTTCTAAATTAGCTGAAGAGACATCTCCCATAGAATATCTATTCTGTGCAACTCAATCACTAGTGCCCTCTTCCCAGGAATTACTTTGGATCTATTTTGAATATTTTTTGTGTGCATATGATAGAAACAGGATCTGGACCACTTATTTCATTGGTATAAGGAACTCCTTGACAAGGAAGTGCCTTCTAACAAGGCAGGTCTCTGCAAATTACATGTTGTAGAGTTAATGGCACCTACATGTGAGACAGACATGTCCATATGGGTTGTGTAAATGTATAGATGTGGTTCATGAGGGGCGTGGGTAGATATGATCTAATGCCTGCCCTACCTCTGTAGAGGAGGAAAGCCAAGCATTACATCTGTATGCTGACTCAAAGAGGAGGTGAGGGGTAAGGGGTCTGCAAAGATGAGAAGACAGGCTCCAGGGGTGGTACAGAGGCTCTGCACTCTTTTCTCCAGTTTCTGAGAGGGGTATCGTGATAGAATTATATTTAACTATTCCTCTCCCTTCAAACATCTCTGATCTCATCTAGTGTAAGTCTAGGCTCAGATGGAAAACTGCTTCCTTGGTCATCCTTAAGGGGATATAGCTCTTGACTTTCACTCTCCAACTTGACTCCTTCCAACAAAATACTAGTTACACAAAAGACCATCATAATAATAGCTAACATAGCCCCTTCTATGTGCCAGGCACTGTGCTAAGCATTTTAAAATTATTATCTCACATGATCCTCACAACACCCCTGGGAGATAGGTGCTATTATTATCCCCATTTTACAGATGAGGAAACTGAGACTAAGTGACTTGCCCAGGATCATATAGCTAGGAAGTGTCTCAGGCTGGATTTGAACCCAGGTCTTCCTGACTCCAGCCTGGCCCTCTATCCACCGTGCCACCTGACTGCCTCAAATATAATAGATCACTAGGAATAGTATCCATGTGAAAAACAAAAAGTAGAAATTGAAGCATTTCCATCAATTAGAATATATCAGAAAATATGCAATAAAGAAGTATTTTACTTTTCAATAGGGACCAAGATAAACATCTCAGCTCAAGCCATGAAAGTGTCTGTTTTCAGCCAAGAATATCAATTGTAGCAGCTCCTAGGGAGGCAGGATAAAAGTCATGAACACATCGAAGAACTGGCTTCCTTTACACGTCTGCTGTTTCTCCCTTCCCGTGTCTCTCTTAAAGGGTCTCAATCTAGACTATCTCTCTCTCTACCCCCAAATGCTGACACCAACCGTCTAAGTCTTTTAGCAGCCATGAGGCACTATGCTCAGCCTTCTCTGCCAATAGGAAGTCACATCCCCGGGGTGGCTAGGTGGCATAGTGAATAGAGCACCGGCCCTGGAGTCAGGAGGACCTGAGTTCAAATCCAGCCTCAGACACTCAACACTTCCTAGCTGTGTGACCTTGGGCAAATCACTGAACCCAAATTGCCTCACAAAAAAAAGTCACATCTCCCTCTGCATAAGCCACAGCATGCAAAATGCCCCCGGCTTGGTCAGAAGCCTGCTTATATTTATTATCTTAAAAAGTTGCCTAGAACCCCCCAAGAGGCTAAATTATATTTCCAGGGCCACACAACCAGTATATGTCAGAGTCATGACTCAAAACCAGGTTTTCCCATCTCCAAGTCCCATTTTCTACCCACTCTTAAATAGAATACAAGCTATATGAAGGCTGAGACTATGTGTCCAGTGTTTAGTACAGTACCTGGTGCATAGAATGTGCTTTAAAAATATTTGTTGAAGGAATAAATGATGCATGGTAGAGACCTAACCGCAAGGATTGTGGTGAGAGCAAAGACAGGAGCCAGGACAGTGGTGCCCAAGATTTTGGGACTTCTTTCTAGACCTTGAAGGAGATACACAGAGACCCAGGCTACATCTGTGAACCACTAACCTAGGGATGGAGGGCACCCTAAGAAGTCCTTTACCCTCCCCCCTTCATCTACTTTTCCACAAATGACCTATTGCTACAGCAATTGTACTTCCATCTGTGTGATTGACCTGGCCATTTGACACCCTTTTCTCCTGTTGTATTTCCAGTTACTCTGGAGGTATTACCATGTAGAGATGACTCCCTTCCTAAAGGCAAAGGGCAGCCTATTTACCTGGGCATAAAGGCATCAGGCTTTTGTCTGTGTTGTGCAATGAGTGGAGAGCAGCCCACACTGCAGTTGGTGGTGAGTTGTTGAAAATGAATAGAGTAAAACTTGGCAGAGAAAAGCCAATACAGAAGCCTCATATCATTTATAATTTTTATGTATATGTTTTGTTAAAGAATACTTTTTAAAGAAATTTGCCTTGATAAGATAGAAAGCAGACAAAATCTAATATGATGAAATTTAGAAAGAATTAACAAATGTATTTACTGGTGAAAAAAATTCCTAAGTTCAAAATTATGGAGGCATAGATGTATATAACACAAGACTACAGTATTACATATTAGGGCTGGAAGGCACCTTAGTGGCCATCTGGTATAATACCTTTATTTTATAGGTAAGGAACCTAAGGCCAAGGGAGGTTAAGTGATTTTTCTGTGGTTATGTGGCTACTATATGGCAGTAGGATGGCAATCCAAGTCCTGTAAAAAACATCTGAAAGTTTAATGAACTGCAATGCTATTGAACTTTCCAAATGTCTCAGGATCTAAGAACAGGCCAGCAGACTGTCTGGAAAACTCATCCCACAAAATAAAGACACAATTTTGCTCTCTTATTAGACAAGTATTTAATGGGAACCATGAAGTCCATGAGCTACAGATGAAATTCTTAGCTCAGTAATGACCCCAAAATAGATCCAGCAGAATTTGAGACCAGTCAAGATTATTTCTCTGCATCAGGGGAAATTCTTTATTCAATGTAATCATATGAATCCTTTACAATGTCTTCAATAGAATGAAAATTGAATCTTTAACAATAATCCTAAAAATATGACACAATTATTTCAGAAAAAAGGATACCTGCCTTTGCAGAAGGCCATGTGGATTTCCCAACTGCTAGAATAAAGGGGAAAAATGTGAAAAAAAAGAGACTGTTGGTTGTTTCTCTTCTGCCTTTCATCTTTTTATCACAAGGTTGAACACAGTGCTGGGCACAGAATAAGTGCTCAATATAAACTTGTTGAACATCTAACTGATATTGAGAGGGCAAGGAGCCAATATGCTCTTTATTGCTATGTCCTCTAGAAGAGAATGGAAGCAGGACAGAGAGTGCAGAAGAATGAAGTTTCTGCTCTTTTGGATACCAGATAGAGAAGAAAGAAAAAAAAATGGCAAGAGATTATTGCTATGACCATCTGGGAGGGAAGAGAGGGGAAGGTTATTAGAAAGTCTCAGAAGACTTGTCTTGAAGTCTCACCTACTTCCACTCCAGTCAAGTCACATACCTCTAGGCACCTCCTTTTTTGCTTGAATCCAGGCCTCAACTCTATCTTCTTGAGGGTTAGAAGTAACCTCATATCTTCTATGTTATAAGCTCTGTCAAACCAAAAGGTCACAGAATCCTAGAACCTCAAGGATGAAAGAGTTGTTAGAGGCCATGATGGAGGTAGTTTGCCTTTCCCAAGGAAGTATTTAGTTTTAAATTAAAATAGTCCTGCTTTATTTGTAATAGAAAACTGTGTCCTAAGTCCTTGACCTGTTGGGGACTACTTTTTCCCCTGAGACCTATATTCCTGGCTAAAGCTGAGTGAGAGAAGCATTCTCCTTCTTCTTCCCCTTTTCCAAATTTTATATATATATACACACACACACACATATATATATGTATGTATGTATGTATAGCCACTTGTTATTTTAACAAGATATTTCCAAGGATTCTTGAACAGGAAGGCTCCTAATAGTAAGATCAATATGAATTAGCAGAGTGAAATAGAAGCCGAAAACCAAATTATACTTTAGGCTGCCTTGAGAGGCATAACTCCCAGAAAAAAAAATGAGGTAGCAGTTCTAATGTACCTGTGCCTTAGTTAAACTGCATCTGAAGCACTATGTTCAGTTTATGGTGCTACATTTTAGGAAGTACGTAGTTAAACTGGAACATATTCAAACCTGATTTTGTTAGTAAGAAAGTTTTTCAATTTCATGCAATTGAAATTATTTTTTTTCCATTTGATTGCCTCTATTCCATGTTTCCCTAAGAATTTTCCCCAGTCACAGCTGTAAAAAGTGACTGATTTGGTTATCTTCTAGGTTTTTTTTGTATAATCTTCAATATTTAGGTTGCATATTCATTTTGAGCTTACTATGATATATGGTGTAAGATGGTGGTCTAAATTTAATTTCCACCAAACTTTTCCTAGCAGTTTTTGTCATATAGAGGGTTCTTCAAGCACTTCATGAGAATCAAACACTGAATCAATAAGGTCAATGGTTTCTTATCTAATCTGTTCACTGACCTACTAACAGGATTTTTCTTTACTCTGTTAGGAGAAGAACATAGCAGACCTGTACAAAACACCTGAGGCAGTGAAGCCTTTTGTCTTTTACCTGAATCAGACTGGCAGCACCTCTACCCTTGAGTCAGCTGCCTACTCTGGCTGGTTCATCAGCACATCTTTATACAAAAACCAACCTGTTACCCTCACCCAAAACTTAAGAAGCCAGTATAATACCGACTTCTTTTTAAAAATAGAAAACCCCAAATTGGAGCCCCATGTCTCTACATAGAGTTTTCTTTTCTCAAGGCATTTCACACACATGAGGTCATTTTCATATTTATAACATATCTGTGACATCATCACGATTGGCATTTTAATCCCTATTTTGCAAATGAGGAAATTGCTGCCCAGAGAAGTCATGAGATTTCCCCAAGTTTACATAGCTGGTGACTGGCAGGTTTCCTTCAATGGATTGAGAGCCATTGGAACAGTGAAACTCATGATTCATCTCATGTTCGTGGTTGTTCCCTCTAGCCTTCACAGATGCAGCTTTTGGGGATGTTTCTCTCTAATCATTCTCAGCACCTGGTAACACATTCATCAGTGCCAGCAGAACTCACTGGCAGTGTCTGGCGACCATGATCCATCCTGATTTAGTATTCTGGTCCTTCATAGCCCCTTGAAAGGGACTTCAATCACATTGGCTCTCACTTAATTAACCACTGAAAGATCTTAACATAGGAAATATTAAGGAAGAAGCTCTGTCACTAACTGTGTGACTTTCTATAAATCACCTCCCCTTTGGGGACCCAGTTTCTGTATTTTTAAAAATGAACAAGATGGTCTTTTAGGTCAGTTGCCCCTTTAAACCTAGAACTTATAACAGGAAACCCTCCCTTAAATTACATGTATGTATGTATGTATGTATGTGTGTGTGTGTATGTGTGTGTGTATCTCCTCCTATTTAGGAGGAGATAACGTCTTCCTAAGTCAAAGTACTCAATCTTTCCCAGACTCGGTTTTCTCACCCTCCAAATGGTTAAAATTATACAGACTGTGTATGGTTCTTCAGAGGACCAAATTAGAAAGATACATGAAAATGTCTTGGAAATCTAAAAATGTTACAAAAATATAAGGTGGTACTATTATCATGACTTTACTGTCCTTCTATTTTATACCAATTTCTGTACTATTGGCAGAGCTTAAACTGAGCAAAATAATAAGGTAAATGAGCTTTTTTTTGAGGGGGAGGGGTGGGGGGGGAGTATTCCCAGACTTTCCTTTCTGGGCTCTTTTTCACTTAAAGTGGATCCATTCTCCATCTACCCATTCCTTTCTCCCTACACTGCTATCGTATATACATATACATACATACATACACACACACACACACACACACACACACACACACACACACACACATATATATATAGAGAGAGAGCCAGACATGATTTGGGTCAGCATCACTTCATAACTACAGCTAAAAGCAAAAGACATCTAATGATATACAGCAAGGTAAATAGCAATGGAATCTCTGTCCCTTTTGCATGCATATAGCTATACACTGTCTTCCATATTACCTTACCCCTGGCTAAAGAAGCACATGGAGGGGGAGGAAACATGCATTGTTAGAGTGAAATGGGTGGGAAAAAGTAGACATATAAGGAACACATGTGGTTAGGGAGCACATCTAGCCAGGGCCACTCAGGCATCTAGGTTGGTGTCCCCATTGGATTATCTCTCTGTCTCTGTTGCTGATGCTTAATTCCCCCAAGAGCTGCCAATGTCATCTGTTAATATGGAGAAGTCAACAGGCTATAAATTGCTGCCTCTGCAGGAAGCTACACACTGCTAGGGGTGCCCTCTGCTGGTTTATTCTATCCTATGCCATTTTCTAATGTCTCTGTTGCTCGATTCTCTTTGGGATACATTGCTGCCATCTTCTGGTTATTTCCTGAATTGCAGTTGCTTTTTCTCCATAGTATTTTCAGCTTCTAGTCACAGGGGTTATCTCACCTCTTTTGTGTGTCAGACCCAGTCACTCAGCCAATCAGAGAATATTTAGGCATTTAATCTGTCTTTTAAACTGCTTTTCTTCCACCTATTTCCCATGCTGCCACTGGACAGTCATCTTTTCATTTCCTACAAGACTGCACTCCTCTGAATTTCTCTACCATGTCCCAGAGAGATCTTTTCATCTTAGAAGATCACTTCAGCCTTGGAACTCACACCTCTAAAGTTCCCTCTACCCAGAAGCCCCTCCCTTTTATTGAATAACTCCTTCCAGAATTTCCATGTATGAAAGGCACCCAGTCCAGATATCTCTTAATTTCCCACCAGGTGACATTCCTCTGGACTTCTCCATCAGGCCCCTGTGCCTTCTCCCCTACTCCAGTTGCTTTTGCATTCCCTTTTGTGTGTTGTTTCCCCTGTTAGAATGAAAGCTCGTTGATGTCAGGAGCTTTCTTTTTACTTGTATCTGTGCTTAGAACACTGCTTGGCATATAGTAGATGAGTAATAAATTACGGTTGTTTGTTCTTTGTTTTTGAAGAAGACCAGTGACATCACTAGTGATGTCTTGACTTGCCTGTGAATGGATTTAAGTGAGACAGAGTTGCACCAGCGTCATCAAGTGCTCTCTTCCTGAGTCACTGAGGTCCCGTGGCAGGACAAAAGTCAAGACAAATGGAAATGGTGCAGGATACAGTAAATGAACTTGGCTTCTTCAATGCCTGGCATCGAAGTAAATTCACACAGTACATTATTTTTTTGACTTAGTTAATATATATAAGACCCAGTTTCTAAAAGCACCATCTGAAATGTCCATATTTTTCATAATGTATTGATGAAATGAAATTATATATTGACATGAATTCCTGCATTTGTTCTTATAAATTAGATCCAAATCACCACAAATTGTGCTTTTATTTTCTACAAGCTGAGATCAATACTTATAAAAATATATTCCGAAAATATGCCCCAAAAGATGCCAAGCTCTAGGGGCTCCACAGTACCTGCTTCAGCCACCTTTGTGGCCATTGGAACAAATTGTTGTGATCTGCTCATTCTGTTGGGAAAAGTCTTCACATGCTTGGGGTGTACATCCCCCTAACTCACTGATAGGTTTGAGGCCTATTGGTTACCCTTAACTTGGTTTAGCCCATCTGCTGAGATAGTTTACCAGGGTGCAACCACTGTGCATACAATAGTTCCTTAGAGCTGCAGGTGACAATTGGATGAAAGTGGACACCAAAGGTGGACAAGTAGCTCTGGAAAGGACTCAGTAAGCCCTCACCCCAGAAATGCTAGTCATCCTTAAACATCCATACACCACTTGAGGCATACTTAGGATACAGAGAATGTGCCATTTGGTTGGAAGAAGAGAGGTCAAATCAGGAAAGGGATGGATGAAAAGACCCAAGGAATATTTTCTCCTCTCTTCTATAGCACTTATAACCATCATCTTCTGAGCTTGAGCAGAGAATGAGGCAATTCTGTCCCCTTGATTATCAGGGATGACAAATAGTTTTAAGGCCGAATGTGCCTCCCTGTTCTAATTGGGGCATGCTTGTTGACTGACTAACTCATTGCTATGCGACTCTAAGCAAATCACCTTGGGAGACTTGCTTAGCAAGACTGCAGGAAGGGCAGTCTTCCTTCCCAATGCTCATCTACTACTCAGGGCACGAATTCCCAAGGAGGAGGCCTCATTCATTTTATTTTTTAAATAATTGGTTTCATTAATGCATTTTTATTATAACATCACAGTCATTTTCCAATAACCCCCACCTGTGTTCCCTTGCAATAACTGACATGTGGCAGTGCATATAGCATTCTACACCCATAGTTCCCCCGTGCTTTCTCAAAAGTAGGAAAGACTATTTCCTCCTCTCTTCTCCAGGGTCAACATTGGTCATTGCAATTGTTTGGAATTTGGAATTACATCATTTTAGTGATGGTCAATATTGTTCTTGTCCTGTGTACTGCACTTAGCTCTCTCTGAATTCCTAATATTAATCAGTCCCTCAGATGCCATGACATTCTATTCTATTCATACACTACAATTTGTTTAGTTATTTCCTAGTGACAAAGATGACATCCTTGGTCCAAAATGATTTGAAGGAATAACTATCGTAGAGATAGCTGCCATTTATATAGCACCTTGAAGTTTGAAAAGCACCTGGATGTGTTATCTCACTTGATTCTGTCAACAACTCTGTAAGGTAGGTGCTATTACTTTGTAGATGAGGCAGAGAAAAATTAAGTGACTCACCCAGGGGTCATAAGCTTTTGGTTTGAGGCAGGATTTGAACTCATGTCTTCTTGACCCCAAGTTTGATACTCTACTCCCTCCAACATCTCAAAATTAACCTCTACTATTTCTATGCACTGCTCCTATGGGGCCAAGCAAATAAAGTATATTACTTTCGCACCATAGCCCTTGAAATTCCTGAAGACAGCTACCATGTTATCCTCTTTCTCATGGTGAGTAATCTCATTTTCTTCCACCAGTCCCTTCAACGTCCTGATGAAAGTTGCTTAGGCTAAGATGAGGCAGCACAACCTGTCAGTGAGGGGAGACCAGGGCAGTGAGGGGAGATCTCAGTTAGTGCTGGGGAGGGGTCCCTGGCTGAGTGAGGAAGCAGGGTTGGTTAAGCTACACACGAGGATTTTCTTCAATGCCTAGCAAGTTCTCCCTCCTCATCTCCTACCTCTGGGAATTCCCAGTTTCCCTCAAGTCTCAGCTCACAGGTTATTGTTCAGTCATTTTGCAGTTATGTCTCACTCCTCTCGACTCCATTTGAGATTTCCTTGGCAAAGATACTGGAGTGGTTTGTGATTTCCTTCTCCAGCTCATTTTACATATGAGTAAAGTCAGGCAGACAGGGTTAAGTGACTTACCCAGGGTCACATAACTAGTAAGTGTCTGAAGCCAGATTTAAACTTGGGAAGATGAGTCTTTTTGACTCCAACATAGCACTCTATCCCACTGTGCCTCCTACCTCTCCCTCAGAGATTAGCACTGTCAGATAATTGTCAGTGGTGAGACCTTGGGCAATTCACTTCACTTCCTTGTGCCTCAGTTTCCTCATCTGTTAAATGAGAGGGGGTGGTCCTCTGAGGTCCCTTCCAGCTCTTCATTCATGATTCTAGGCTATGAGGAAGACCTGAATTCAAATCCAGCCTCAGACGCATATGAGCTATATTCTGTTGGGCAAGTCATTTAACCTCCAGCTGCCTCAGTTTCTTCATCTATAATAGCACCTACCTCCCAGGGTTGTTGTGAC